ATCCTCGCCTCCAACAGCAGCAGCTTTAAGTCGCGACTGATGATTCCGCAGATCAGACCAGCGCGCCGCGCCCGTGTGCTGAACATGCACTTCACGATGCCGCCGACGATCCGCTCAGTGGAGCTCATGAGCTGCGGGGAGACTGACCCGGAACATTTCGAGCGGTTAGGCGAGGTGCTGCGCGGATGCGGGCTGATCCCGGTGACGGCGCGGCGGGAGTCGACCGGGTACGTTTCCCCTCCGATCCTCATCCTCATCTTACATGGAATCAAATCCCGCTGACATGAGCTAGATTCATCTTCAACCGCCTCTGGGCAGCCATCAAGCGCGAGATCCTGCTCATCCTAGCCGAAGACATCAGCACAGCGGGGGAGATCGACACCCTGTGGACGGAGATGTTCCAGCAACCGCACAGCCAGCCGCCGTGTCGGCTGATGGACCAGATCGGCCTGGACACGGTCGCCTTCATCGAGGACAACTATATACGCGAGCGGGGGCTCGACGCGTCGATGACGGTCGACTGGCTGCGGGAGCACTACCTGTCGAAAGGGCGGTTAGGGCTCAAGAGCGCAAGCGGCGGGCTGTACGAACCCGCACCAGCATCTCCTCCCGCCGGCGCCCTCCGGCCAGGCCCCGAGCAACCGCAACCCCTCTACGTGCTAGACGTAGGCCTAGGCGCCAACGTCCCCGCAACCACCCCCCTCGCGCAAGCCGGACGCATCCTCTCCTTCAACCCCACCACCAAAAGAATGCACCCCCTGATAACAGGCCAATCCCTCCCGGACGGCATCGCCTACTCCCGCACCGCCGGGCGCATCTTCTGGACCAACATGGGCGCCGCGACCTCCGCGCGCGACGGATCCGTGCACTCCGCCAACGCCGACGGAAGCGACATCCGCACCCTGATCCGCGCGGGAAACGTCCACACGCCCAAGCAACTCACCCTCGACGACAACGCCGAGAAACTCTACTTCTGCGATCGCGAGGGCATGGGCGTGCACCGGTGCAACTTTGATGGGTCCGGGCATGAAGTCCTGGTCCGGGCCGGCTCGGAGGCACAGACGGGGGACATGACGCGGTGGTGCGTCGGGGTGGCGCTCGATGTGGCGGCGGGGTATGTGTACTGGACGCAGAAGGGGCCTAGCAAGGGGAATCGGGGCCGGATTTGTAGGGCTGGGATGGAGATCCCCGCGGGCCAGACGGCGGAAAGCCGGGGGGATGTCGAGGTGCTGTTGGAGGGGTTGCCGGAGCCGATTGATTTGGAGATTGATGCAGGCGCGAAACGGTTGTATTGGACGGATCGTGGGGAGCATCCGGTTGGGTGTTCGTTGAATGTGTTGTATCTTGGGGATAGGGGGGCCGGGGAGAAGGTGTTGGCTAGGCATTTTCATGAGCCAATTGGGTTGTGTTTGGGGGAGGAGGGGGAGGTCATTGTGGCGGATTTGGGGGGGAGTGTGTATTCGGTCAAGGGGGGGCGGAAGACGGTGCTGTGGCGGGATGAGGGGTGTTATACTGGGGTTGCGAGGGGTTGAGTGGCTTGATCAGGGGTATGGCGGTATTATGTGTACTGTAGATAGTGATAGACAGTTTGCTTTGACCCTTGTTGGAATTCTAATTACTGTCGGACTCTAACTTGTTTTGAGAGGGGTTTGCACTGTGGATACAGAAAGGATATAGGAACACCAGATTTTGTAAGCCTTGGTAGTATAGTGCTTGCACGGGTGCGACGAATGTGAGGTAAGGTGGGTCCGCACTGTAGAAAAAGAATAGAAATGAACTGTGTTCCTGTGTAAACATGCAATTCATTAACTGCGCTACCAGATTCAAAAGCCCCAGCCTTTACTTCTTGCATTCTCGCTGGACCTGGCGCTACCCCGAAAGTCAATGGCGGGTAGGCAGTAGGCAGTCCACGCTCAACGTATCACGGAGTCTATCTACCCTGGATTACGATCAACAAGAGTGAAGTTCCTTTGAACTCACCGAATCACTCCAGTCACAATGGCTCCGACCATGGGCAATCCGTGTCCTCCTTGTGCTTATAACGGCGGGCGCATACAATTAGAGTGCGTGGCGGTTCGTATATCCGAGCCTGGATCTCTGGATCCAACCTTAACCCGGGGATCTGGGCCAGTCTACCCCACACTTTCCACTGACTTTCCTTTCATGCAGCACAATCTGATCGAGTGTGGACTCATCATGCCACCGCTTCACCTCGTATACACCGCGACCCTTGCAAAAGGGCTCGGGAGTTCATAGTCATGATTACTTGACTTGTCCCGCAGTCTTCGAAGCGACGGCGGTGCTTATAAAAAGCCTTCCACCTCTGCCTCTACCCACCGAAACCAAAACCTCCGTCAAGTACAACACCATACCACCACAAACCCAATCAATCCACATCCAACTCCACAAAACCAAAAAAAATGACCCCCCCAAAAACCACAGCCTACATCACCCGCACCCAAAACTGGGACCCAGCCCGTGCGCATCCCGCCCTGGCGTGGATGGAAAAATGCACGCACGCCTGGGACACGCGGCAGAGCTGGACAACGCCCTACACGGACTGGGTGACGCCGGACTTTGTGTTCGTCAAACCCAACGGCGAGCGGTGCGAGGGCGGGCTCCCCGCGTGGGAGGCGATGCGGCAGGAGTACGCGGCGTTTGCGCGGTCGCACCACGAGCCCAGCTGGGTGTGCGTGGTGGACTGTGACGGTGAGGAGGGCGGGGGGTGGGAGTTTGTCGGCGAGGGGAAGTTGTTTATTGATCTGCCAGACGGGAAGATTCCCGGGGAGAAGAAGGCGAAGGATTTGGATGGGCAAGAGTGGGATCTGGGCGTGGAGAGTATGTTTCGGTTCCGGTTTGTGCACACCTCGAGTGAGCTGAATGAGGGGATTCGGATCAAGCGGTTCCAGTTTTATAGTGATAGTGGGCCGGTGGTGGCGGAGATGGTGAGAAGGGGGGTCGTGAGGGTGGAGGATTTGTTTGGTTAGGTTTTGGGGATCTTGGGGGTGAACTTGGATGGGAGAGGTGGGCTTTGAATGGGGTTGATTTTGTGGAATTACTTCGTCTTTCTGGGGTTTGTTATGGTGTTTTCAGTAAATGCTTATGTTGCCTGGTTTTGTACATTTGTTGCGTCTGAATTGTTGTACTCATTGCTTGGTCTGCGTGATTACCTAATAATGAGGGTAAAGTTCATCTTATACAATGATTTGTATAAACTAGACTAATCAACATTTCTTCATATCATAACTCAACTTGCCATTCCAAACAGAATATTCTATATCTTATTAGTGTATGCTGGACTATAGCCAGATCATCTAGCCGAACGGCTGCAAATCATCCAGGCTTGGCGCCGGATAAAGAATCACCGGGTGGAACCCCTTTTGTGGGGAAGATTAAAGGGCTAGCCTGGCACTCGGTAAGACACAGTGGAGCGACAATCAAAACGATCCGCAGCAGGCGGAGGGGGATATTTACTGGAATATGAGAGTAAGACATCGGGCGTTGTTGTGAGCCTCTTAAGAGTGTCTAATAAGGCGCGTACGTTATCTGGGGCTGGCGACGGCGGTAGAGGCATCTCCCTGGGTAGCGTCTACTGTACCTGAGCATTTCGCCTGCATCTATGCAAGCATCAGGCTGCGGTAACACACATGTCGATCGACACCTTTAACCTCTACAACAATGAACCAACCAACCGGTTCTTCAAGTACAGCCAAGCGAGCAGGGGATAACCGACATCACGTGACCAACAAGGCTGACAGGCGCCCCTCTCACATCCCCTCCAATCCACCAAACATCCCCAAGCCTCCCACCTAAAGTGAACAACCAACAGAAAAACTGAATATGCCCTCCGGATCCCCAACGCAGCATACCCTCAACACCCCCGAGCTTCTCGAGCTCATCCTCGCGCAACTCGACCCGCGCACCCTCCTCACCGCCGCCCAACTAACCTGCCGCACCTGGCGCACCCTCATCCAAACCTCCCACCCGCTCCAGGAAGCCCTATTCTTCCGGCCCGCCCGAGCAACCCCCACCATCCCCGCACCCGCCACCAAGAAGTTCAACCCCCTACTCGCAGAGGCATTCCCCGGGTTCTTCCCGCGATTCCCCAGCGACAGCAGCGCGTCAGAGGCAGCCCCCTCCGCCCGCCACGCGGTTTTCCAGTGGGACACTCTCGACTTCGTCGTGCGCCCGGACAAACGCCCCGCCTATTTCCGGAAGGAGGCCAGCTGGCGCCGGATGCTGGTGCACCAGCAGCAGCAGCAGCAACAGCATGCGCCTCCGCAGTCGGTGGGATTGATGACCGCGTGCAGTGGGATCAGTGGGGAGGAGATCTGCTTGGAGAGTTGGGTATGTTTGTCCCCTTTTTTTTCTGTCTTTGTTTATGTGTGCAATCCAAAGTAACGCTATTGCAGAAATCCCCGCAGACGGGAAATGCTTTGGAAGATGGCCTCCGAATGGAGACGTTCTTCGAGCTGCTGTTCTTCAATGAGCTGCTGCGGTACAGTTGGTACGTCGCGGTGGTGTGGCGGGATGAGCGCCGGGCTCCGGAGCATGTGTTCGAGGCGTATCGGGGCCGGCTGGGGAAGCCGGACAACCAGGAGGTGGTGGTTTGCGTGTTTGCGTCGGTGGGCTGCGAGGAGTCGGATGACGAGGATGAAGAGGCGGAGGTTAGGGCGGTGCAGGGCGTTGTGATTGGGGGATACAATAAGGAGGGGCTGCGGACTGCGCCTTTTACTGGGGGGGAGGGCGGGTGGGTGAAGGGGGAGGTGTTGAAGGCTTCGGGGTGGTGGGATTAGAATTAGGGATGGTTTGGGTTGGGTTGGTAGGTGGTGTGGAGTGGGGGGAGTATGGGCTTATGCGTACATGTTGAGGGTGTTAGGTATGGGTAAGTTATCGGATGATAGAGCTTGTTTAGATCATACTCGGGCTGAAGTATGCTATACTATACACAACATACACGACAGTAATGGCGCAGCTGAATTCTGCGATCAACCTGATCCTCAAGCGAACTTGCACGCCTCCCCCACAACACTAACCGTCGTCGTCACCGTCTCCACCACCACGTCGCCCCCCTCCGCACTCGGCGCAGCAGTCACCGCCGCCGTCGTCAGGCCTGTCGACACCTCCACCACCGCCGCCGTGGGCGTGGGCACATTGCTGAGGGTCACAGGGTGGGCATAGTCTGAACACCAACCAATAGTCTTAGGCACGATTCCAGGTTTCACGGTTTTGGAGGTCACGACGGGGACAACAGCAACGGGGATGGCGGGGGTAGCAGCGGGGAGGACATTTGAAGGAGAGTGATGATGGTGGTGGTCATGATGATCGGTGTGGTGGTGATGAGGCAAGACAGAGCTGGAACCGGTGGGGCTCACCGTGACATAAACGGTCTGCGTGGCCGGGGCCGGGCAGGTGGGGGCGGCCACCGGGGTGCGCGAGGGAGACGGCAGCCCCGGGAGAGACGAGGGTTTCGGGTCGGAGCAAGGCTGCACCGGTGGCGCGACGGTGAACTTCTCGCTCTGCGCGTAGATGATGTACACGTTGGTGCCGTTGATGCCGCTGATCTGGTAGCCCCACTCCGGGTCGGTGTCGCAGGGGATCTGCACGCGGTGCGTCAGGTCGGAGGTCGGGATGTCCAGGGCCAGCGGCACGTAGGTCGGCGGCCACGAGACGAAGTTCCAGAGATACAGGCTGAAGTAGCTGGGGTCGGTGTCGACGCTCGTCCAGTTCACGGTCAGGGTGGAGCCGGCCGGGTAGGTTGCGTTGAGACCCGGCTTGGTGATGCTGATCGCCGAGGCGAGGGATGTCAGCGACACCAGCAGTGCGGGGATGGATAGACGCATGCGCATGGTGTTGCGGTGGATTGCAGTTCTGGTGCGGGAGTGCGGTTCAAGCGGATTATAGAAAGGGGTATATGCAAAGAATGCTCAAGATGACGACAAGAGCGTTAGTCAGGAAATATGAGGATAGAATCGGAGGTAAACGAGTGACTGGATTCTGTATTCTGTAAAGAATGACTGGTAGTTGGAATGGCTGGTGGGAGACTCAGATGGAAGCAAGGGGCGAGGGGGGATTATAAGGTGAGGAGGTTTGTCGCATCCCCGGAGATTAACGGTCAGCCTCGTGAACCCAACATTCCCCGCGCTAGTGGGAATAGTGCGTGCCGTAGACCTTTTTGGGGTGTTTTCATTGCGGGGCGCCGTCTTGATTTGTGCTGTTTGAGGTCGGTTGGGACCGTGCACGGGGAATGTCTTGGCCATGTCTTGGCCATCAACACTTGATTGGTCTGGGATGCACGGTTCCTGGGAACCCAATTTAACTATTCGTAGAAATCCCACTTACTTACCTTATCCAGTGCTGCTAATCATAAACTTGCTGTCGCTCTAATTATGAGCAGGTGAGATCCAGGGCCCGCGTGGATAAATGAGAGAAGGACCCATAAGGCGAATAGTGATTCGCACTCAGCGATCTAGTCCTTTACAGCGATAGGTCAGTTTTAGGCACCACAGGTGAACTGAACCACAATGGCATGTCCGGCCTTACTGTCCTTCCAGATTAGCCGAAAATTGCCTCGGCTTGGACTCAGTGCACGTATCCAGAGATCATCTCGATTCGATGTTCATATTAGCGAGACATTTTTTAAATTTATGCAGCTGTGCGGTGATACAAGGATGGAACCAAGCCGTAGCCAAGTTGTGTTTCTATAGATATCTTCCCGCGGATCGGGCTTACAACGAAAACATTGTTGACCTTAATACTTCCTTCTCTCCCAAGGGAACATAAAGATACCTCGGGGTTGCACCTGGTTCAATGCCGGCCAACAAGCAGAGTAATAAGCTCCATTGTGCACCATCATTTGTCCGTGAAGAATACTCGACCGTCTTCTATCTGTTTCCAGAGAACAAAAAGCTCGGGACTACCAATTGTATGAACAGGAGAGCATTCATTGGTGCGTTTTGTTGGGCGTCCTCTTTTGTGCTGCGAAAACGAGGGCAGCGATGTAGAGGGTGAAGGGAACCACGAATTTAGGCTAAACGCTTGCCAAGAAAATGCCACATGCATTTTTAAATTGGTTGTAAATATCTTCATTGTTGTACTCAGTATCTTGCGCGTCTTCTCGCATTTCAAGTGTTGATGTGAGGTCCTCGTGGCTTGTGCAGGTAGGGACGGGTGTTTGCTGAATTAGCCACGCTGAGTTCCAAGTTATTTGTCTCCTTCGCGGGGTGTCGAAAGTTGACATCCCAAATCTGGTAAACTAAGTCCCGATGGCAATCGGCGGGAACATATCGCAAGGACTGAGATGGTTCGAATAGCAGCTTATTCTGAGAAGTCTTAAATAAGAGTCTCTCGAAAAATCCATTTTTCTTGGTGAAATGCGTTTTCTACGTACTTTCCAGATAGTTCCTGATTAAGTATCCTAGCTTGACCAGATTTTATTCTCGACCGCAGTCTGGAATCAAGCAGTGTAATTACCAGACACTAGCTTTGATGATGCATTGCATCTCGGTCGAAACATACTATTGCCCTGGGAAGAGAACTGGGTATATGAATATACTAATTCTATAGTATATCCTTGATACAATGGAACTTTGCTCCGTATTTCCTCTGACTTGAGGGAGTTTTTGCAAAGTTTTCTCGGATCCTAGTGATTGACCGGTCGGCATTGCACTCGATCTCTAGTTTGATTGGGGCATGATCAAACAGGGTCCTCATCCAGTGTGGGTGAAATAAAGATCAACATGTCCGAGATGTCTCTTGTCTTTTTCTCATTGTGTCTATTTGAAATCATCCTAAGCTTTGTCGACACTTCTTAACCCGTTTGAAGTGAGATAACCAGAGTTCATTCTTCTTTCTTTGCTATTGCATAGCTTCCAAGTTTTTCCTTTGCGGAAGGTTTCTGGCTCGAGATGTTTGATTCTCTACCGTGCCGATGCCATCCAGATATATCTATGGTTCGGGAGTAACCGTAATCGACCGGCTTCATTTATTCTTGAGTACCCACTTCCTACGATTGTCAAAGAGAACATTGGAATGGAAATCATGTTTCCTGATAAATAAAGGTAGCTCTGAAGCAATATAATCTAGTCCTAGTTTTATGCTCTCAGGCGATCAGTTAGAAAGTGCTGTACCTACAAGGGCCCGTACTTACACCTTTCTAAGCACTTTCTGGGCCCTTATTGGAGCCCATGTTTGAGTAATTATATGTATTCATATTAGAACTACGGAGAAGCATGCGTGCATTGAAGCAGTCCTACGGTCTCGACCTCTCAGTGAGCCCCCTTGAAGTTGTCACCCTCGAGTTCCTTAGGTAGTATCCCGCAGAAACACTCATGTCACGTGACTACTGTTTCAAAGGGCCAATCAAGGCACTTATTTTGCAAAAGGGTTGCCGCCAATCAGCGCGGCGTCTGTCATGCTTGGCAAGGTTGGCTCACCGCTCTCGGGGCAGAATTCTTGCCCATGCCGAGATTTCTCTCTGACACGTTTTGACTCCACCCCGAGATGACCGAGATGACCGAGATGACCGAGATGACCTGCTAAACAATTCTAGAAAGCTTCCATTTTGCTTTACGATTACCTCCAAGCTCCTGGCTCTTCGCTGGGGACAGGCGACTGGTTTGAGCGCCGTAGTGACCGACAAAGCCGTAGTAGCTCATCAAGACGACCTGAAATACCTCGACATGCTTGGGGAATGAAAGGCATTGTACTGCCTTTCTTTTTCTTTTTCTTTTTTCCAATTTCATAAGAATCTCGCGCATCGCATTGTCAAACCTTTGGAGAACAAGTGCCATTGCCTGTGCGATTCAACGGCGGGCACAATCTTGTGTGGCAATCGGGACATGCAATTCGGGAGCACCGGGATCTCACTTTCCGACCCTGTGTGCTATACATACGCTCACCTGAGAAGTCTCTTACTTGTCTGACCTTGATCCGCAAAATGGTGCATTCCTGTTGAGTTCGTAAGACTGGAGATTTGATGTCTCGTTCAACGAGCTTCTTAGAGGATATGAAGAAGAATCGGGCTGGCATTCGAAGTGAAAAGAGGCGTGTCCGCCGTGGACCCACTTCCAGCCCGAACCCGGCCCGTCATCACGAGAAGCAGACTCGGCCGTCTTCCCATGCTATTTACACAGTCTGTCACACGGGATGGTTCGGCCCAGATGGCTTGTATAGCTAGACCGGGGGGCCTCAAAAACCGTTGGGTCTCCAGGGTAATGCGAGGCAATAGCACTCAGGCCTGATTCTCGGCGAAAGTCCGCTCCGTGTACGGAAGGCTGTTCGGTTATCTGATTATCCGCTGGCAAAACTCTTTTCCAAATAAACTAATATACTTAATCGTCCGGCGCCATCCGAGCTAGACCCTAGGATCTAGAGGAAGGTGGAAGCTGATTGGGACGTGGACATCCACTTTATCTTCTCGCATACGGCATGGAGCTCAGTCTACCTCGTATACTCTACAGCCCGCGTCAACCCTCCTAGGCTCAAGCTTCTCACAGAATGCTTGGTGGATGCAAGAGACCGGGAAGAGGGCCAACGTTGATTAATACGAGCTGTCCTTGAACAAAAGCTTTCAGGAGTTGCAGATTGTGGTTAGCAAGGCGCGCGTCTCGGACGGGATTACATAAATCAATTGACTCTCAGAGGGTTGTGAGAAGGAAGAGGCAGCTTGTATGTACCTATCTTGGCATAACTCTGACCCACAGACGAGTGTCCAGGGACTTTAGCTCATGATAGCCGTTGTGCGATCCTTTTTGTTGAGGGGACGAGTAAGTTCTGAGTAAGTGATTATGAAATTCTGATAAAGCGACCCCACAACACCCTATCCAAGTTTTACGCCACGAGGTGGGACCGCCTACTGGACGCCGATTCGCCCGGCAGCCCGGGAGGCACCGGTCACCCTCGGTCATCATTAGCTGATCTTCAACAATGAACGCATCAACCCGGGAGGGGGAAATAGAATTTTTTCTAGAAAAAGATATATAAACCCCGGAACCTGTCAAGGATGCATGTTTCCACCAGTCACAGGTCGTCCACCAAGATCCTCCGCCATGCACGCCTTCTGGACTGCGACCACCCTGCTCGCTTCGGCCGGAGCCCTGTTGGGCGCCCAGGCCCGCCCGACTGACGGCAAGAACCACACGGTCCAGTCGGGATACGACTACATTGTCGTTGGAGGCGGTCCGTCCGGCATCATCACCGCGGAGCGTCTGGCTGAAGCCAACAAGACTGTGCTGTTGTTGGAGCGCAGCACGGCCGGCCCGACGGTCGGAACCGGCTCCAACTACACCCTGTCGTGGAACGATACCCTGACGGCCATCGACGTGCCGGGCCTGTCCTTCGATGTCGGCAACTTCCCGCAGTGGTCCGAGTACATCTGTACCGACACCGACGGTACGGCGGCCTGCATCCTGGGTGGCGGTGTGACGGTGAACTACATGGTCTTCGTGCACCCCCCGGACCACGACTTCGACGATAAATGGCCAGTGGGCTGGAAGTGGGCGAACGTGACTGCAGGAGCCGATCGCCTCTACGCTCGCAACCCGGGCAGCAGCGTGCCCTCGGCCAATGGCAAGCTCTACGATCAGACCCTGTTCACCACCCTGTCGACCTTCTTCAACAACCTCAACTGGACCGCCACCGACATGAGCGCCCAGCGCAACGAGAAGTTCCAGACCTACAGCCATCCCGTCTGGAACATCAAGGACTACAAGCGTGCCGGCCCCGTCCGCACCTACCTCCCGCTCGCCCTGCAGTACCCCAACTTCTCCCTCCGCATGGGCGCCCTCGCCACCCGGGTTGTCCGTAACGGCAGTCTGGTGACCGGAGTCGAGATCGTGAATGCGGCGAGCAACCAGACCGAAACCATCCCTCTCGCTCCCGGCGGCCGCGTGGTCCTCTCGTCCGGCGCGCTGCACTCGCCGCGCATCCTGTTCAACTCCGGTATCGGCCCGCGGGCGCAGATCGAAACGGCGCAGAAGAGCGGGATCGCCGTGCCCCCGGCCAGGGAGTGGATCCACCTGCCCGTCGGCGAGAGCCTGATGGACCACCCGATCTTCTCGATCGTCCTCCAGACCGACAAGGACTTCAACGAACTGGACGCGGCCGCGATCCTCAACGGCACCGCGACCAGCGAGATCACCGCGTACGAGGAGCAGAACGACGGGGTGCTCACGCAGGGCAAGCACCGGCTGATCTTCTTCAGCTCCAACGTCGCCAGCGACGGCCACACCCGGTACTACCAGGGCTCCTGCACCCCGACGGCCGAGGGCGAGGTCACCATCACCACCTACATGACGCACGGCCTGACCTCCAAGGGTGTCCTGGGGCTCGATGCGGACCAGCGCACCGTCATCGAGAAGTCGCCCTACCTGCAGACGGCCGGCGACCGCGAGGCCGCCACCATGTTCATCCAGTCCATGGTCGATGCCATCAACGCCCCTGGCTCGGGCTTCCAGCTGGTCGAGTACACCAACACCTCCGCCATTCTTGGTTCGCTCACCGCGGGTATCCACTACGCCGGCACCACCAAGATGGGCACCGATGACGGCCGCTTCAACGGTACTGCTGTTGTCGACACCAACACCAAGGTGTACGGTACGGATAATCTGGTATGTCTTCCTTCACTCCCCAAGTTTCAGAATAGGTTACTCACGCAGTTTGATAGTATATCGTGGACGGTGGTATCCACCCCGATCTGGCTTCCGGAAACAACCAGGCGACCATCATGGTCGTTGCGGAGAACGCGGTGGAGCGTATTCTGGCTCATTAGATGGGTTTACCCTTTCGAGAGAGGAGGGTGGTGAGACTAGTGTGCTGTATTTTATCTGTAACGTAATGACCCCTCAAGAATTATAATTAGTGCAGTCTGGTTCATGGCTATCTCAACCGACTGGATGAGGTAGTTCATATCAGAGAATTGCTAGTGATATCGGAAGCAATTCTAGTGCTCCCGGCACTCAACCTGTGTAGAAAAAAATAGTACTTATAACATAGAAACATCAATGCTAATGCCTAACAGGCTACTATCAGGCCTCTTCTTAATGGGAAGTGTCAGTGATTCTACTTGCTAAAGATATTCCAGACACCTCTGCACCGCGTCACTCAAATTTTGCATTGTTTCCACATCTGCCCCGCAGATCCGACGGAGAATTGCCTTACCATAAGCCGCTGCGACTGCCGCTGCATAACAATGCCAGCCATCCTGTTTATGACTGTCCGCATAATCGCACACCCCGCGGATGACCAAACAGGGGATTTCATCCACAATCCCGGCTGCTTCCATCTCGAAGCAGATCGCGTCGTCATGGCCTCGACAGAGGCGTTCGCGGTCCTCGGTATTTTTGATGACACCTCCACCTGAAAGTATCAGCCCCCGATGAACAACCGGATACCCCCGCTTACCCGGGCGCACCGGACGAGCAACAACCCTCCTCTCATCAGCCACATCACACGCCCGACAATCCTCCCCCTTAGTGACATGATGAAACGCCGGATCATAAAGAACATCCTCCAGATCCGGCCGTCCATACCCAGGCCTTCTCATCAGGTCCCTCAAGACCCGGCGCAGCGGCCTTCGCTCCATGATCTCCTCCTCCTCCAACGCCCCATCAGCGCTGACCAGGATGGGATGCGGCTTGTTCAGCGACCCCTTCAACACGAACCCGTCCTTCTCATACTTCCCCAGATCATACTCCACCACCCCCGGATGATTCTCCCTCGGCACTCCGACCGCAACATCCCCCAACCGGATATCCCGCTTGCCGGGAATCCCCGCCCCGATGCCCACCATCAGTGCGAACCGCACGCTCGGGAACAGCTGGCCCACCGCCGCGGCGCAGAGGGCCGCCTTGACGGGGCCGATTTGATGCGGCCGCGCGAGCACGACCTTGTGCTCGCCGATGCGCCCGTAGCTGAAGACGTATTTGGTTTGCGGGTTGTATCGCGGGCGGCAGTGGAATTCTTCGTCGAGGGCGTAGCGCACGGCTACTGACTCCAGCGGGAGGGCGCAGAAGATTGCGACGGTGATTTCTCCGGGGGATATGCTGGCAAGGGGGCTTTCTTCGGAAGAGTCGGAGTCGCTTGGTTCGGGGTGCGGTTGTTGCGTGTCGTACATTGTGGGCTTGAGTTGTGGGCTTCTGTGGGGGGTTTGGGGCTTAGTGTATTCGTCGGTCTTTAGTATCACCCGGTCTTGAGTCAAGCAGGGCTCAGTAGTTGACATAAGAGGCAGTCTTGATCATTTGCCCGGGGATGATGGTGTAGGCCGGCATTGAGCCTCATGGACAAGGCCGGCGGCTAGCCCGCCAATGATGCCCGGTTCTTCGGTGCGCGCAGTGTCCACTGCGGACGTCAGGCTAACCACGTTGAGCCGAAGCATGCGGGGCATTATCCATAGCATGATTAGCGTGGATATTGATCACCCACAAGCGATGATCTTGGTGCGAAGAATGGCGAGATGTTGCTGGCCTTTGCAATTTGTTTCATATCCAGGACTGAAGTCCAAATCTAGCATAACCCTAACCGCCCCCCAACGGTCGCACGGTCCGATTCTACACAAGTCTTGGCATTCGTCGGATGAGGGGTTTACTACCTGTTTGAATACTGCACAATCTGCGAAACTCGTTTACCTCCCTCAAGATCCATGCAAATGGGATTGTTGATTGGATGCCAACCTTGTACGTAGATGACGACTCGGCGATCAACCTCTTCTCAAAGACGCCAAGAGCGGAATGAGGCAGCTCCGCCGGCGTCCCATGACTCCTCTGGCCTCGAGTTGGTGTACAATACTATATCCACTCATGTACGCAGCCATGCAAATCGATGATTAAGCCAAGGGAGGCAGTGCCATGCCGAGAGAAGGGAAGTCTGGGTGACCCGGGGATCGGGTCTTGTTGCCGCTGCCATGCATCTGTCTCGGAATCATACTGTCAACAACCTCTCTGCCACCTCTCTTCACAGCCTCTTTCGAGCCCGGAGTTTTGGTAATGATTGATCATGTATACCATCCACTCACACGCTGATATACAGTCGTCTTTACCTCCTATCCCGAATCCGGTTTTGCTCTTCCAACATACCCCCCTCAAAGCAGAGATCAAATTAGGGTTCCCCCACCCCCCGATCCGAGCAACGAACCACGGCTCAAGTCCGGGGTACAACAGCACAGCCCCCCAACCTTGTTCAAAAGCATGACGAAACCGACAGCAACAGAGTCTGCATAAATGTATCACGATGAATCAGTACCATTTCAACACGACCACCCAATCTACCATTGACGAAACAAGATGACCACGACTATAGACGGGAAACCCACGCAAACACCCCTCCCAACCTCCCACCGCCCCCGCTCGCCCTCTCCCTCCTCCTCAGACCCCTCCTCCTCACCGACCCCCTTCGCCTTCACCCCAACCCAGCTAACCACCCTCTTCAACCCGAAATCCCTACCCCAATACCTCGAACTAGGCGGCCTGCAAGGCCTCGAACACGGCCTCCGCACCAACCTAACGACCGGCCTAACCACCACCGAAACCACCCTCACCGGAACCATCACCCTCACGGATTCCCGCAACCACGCCATCTCCATCTCCCAAACCAAAACCACAAGCACAAACACAAGCACTTCCCCCCTCCTCGCCCACCCCACCGCCCCGAAACCAAACCCCACCATCCCCCCGGATCAGTTCGTGGATCGCATCAAAGCCTACGGCCGCAACATCCTCCCGGAACCCCCCCGCAAATCCTTCGGCCGGCTCCTCTGGGACGCGTACAACGACAAGATCATCCTCCTGCTGACCGCGGCGGCCGTCGTGTCGCTGTCGCTGGGCATCTACGAGGCGGTCAGCGGGCAGTCGCGCGTGGACTGGATCGAGGGGGTGGCGGTGTGCGTGGCGATCGGGATCGTGGTCGCGGCGACGGCGGGGAATGACTGGCAGAAGGAGCGGCAGTTTCGGCGGTTGGGGCGGTTGGTACGTTTCCCCGCGGCGCTTTGCTGGTATTCCCGGTGGGGTATAAGGGTTGGGGTGTGTGGGGGGGGAGGTACGGTTGTGGGGTTGGGCGCAGTTGTGAGTATAGGGTTTGGCGAACCGTGCTGATGTTGGTTGCTGGGATAGAAAGTCGACCGCGAGGTGCGGGTCATCCGCTCCGGGCAGCAGGTCATGGTGCACATCCACGACCTCACCGTCGGGGATCTCGTGCACCTCGAGCCCGGGGACTGTGCGCCTGCGGACGGGGTCGTCGTCACCAACTATGGGCTGCGGTGCGATGAGTCCCTCGCCACTGGGGAGGCGGATCAGATTGAGAAGGTCGGTGGGGCGGAGGCGTGGGAGCGGTTGGTGGTCGGGAAGCATACGGCGGATGAGGGGGTGTTTTGTGAGGAGAAGGTGGTTCAGAAACTGGAGGAGGAGAATCTCGACCCGTTTATCATCTCCGGGAGTAAGATTCTGGAAGGCCTGGGCACGTACCTTGTGCTTAGCGTGGGTCCGCATTCCACCCATGGGCGGATCATGGTGTCTCTTGGTACGGAGAGTGATCCGACCCCGTTGCAGGTGAAGTTGGGGCGGTTGGCGAGCTGGATCGGGTGGTTTGGGCTGGGGTATGTTGCTCCATGTTTTTCTTCTTTTTCGTGGGTTTTCTTCACTGAAGGGTTGGATGCTGATGTACGGTGGGTAGGGCTGCGCTCCTTCTCTTCTTCGTCCTCCTCTTCCGCTTCCTGGCGCAGCTGCCCGATAACCCGGCGCCGTCGACGGTTAAGGGGCAGACCTTCATGGACATTCTGATTGTCACGGTTACAGTCATTGTGGTGGCTATACCTGGTATGTGTTGACCTTGACGGGGATTAAACCTGATCTATGGACTGACGTGTGCAGAGGGCCTCCCCCTCGCGGTCACCCTGGCACTGGCCTTCGCGACGGGTCGGATGCTGAAAGAACATAACCTGGTGCGACAGCTGCGCGCCTGCGAGACAATGGGCAACGCCACTGTCATCTGCTCGGATAAGACAGGCACCCTGACGCAAAACAAGATGACGGCGGTGGTCGGGTTCTTCGGGGTGTCCGAGTCCTTCGGCCACCTGCCCACCCACACTTCTCCAGCTGCTTGCCCGGTGCAGGTTCCACAAGCTGCTGCAAGGTTCCCCGCCTCCTTCCGAGATCTGCTGGTCAAAAGCATCGTCGCCAACTCGACTGCCTTCGAGGAACGAAGAGGGAACGGGACCGAGCTGGTTGGCAACAAGACGGAGATTGCGCTGCTGCAGTTGGCGCAGGAGCATCTGGACGTGCCGGATCTTGCTGCGGAGCGGGCTGGGGTCGACGTTCTGCAGGTGTATCCGTTTGACTCGGCGCGGAAGGCGATGGCGCTGGTGTATCGCGTGCGTCCGGATAGGTATCGGGTGCTGGTCAAGGGGGCTGCGGAGGTGGTCTTGCGGGCGTGCAGGACGGTTGTCCTCGCTGATGGTGATGTGGATGAGGTGCCCGTTGGCCAGTTGGCTGACAGCGATGTGGACGCAATTGAGCAAAGCATCAACACTTATGCCTCGGCCGCTCTGCGCACTATCGGGCTGGCGTATCGTGATCTCCCGGCTGGGGTTGCCGGAGGCAGTAAAGGATGCGAAAAGGGCCTTCCTCGCTTTGAGGAGATATTCACCGACATGACCTGGATTGGGTTGTTTGGGATTCACGACCCGTTGAGACCGGAGGTGACGGAGGCGATTCGACAGTGCCATTCGGCGGGGGTGAAAGTGAAGATGGTCACCGGTGAGTTTGTCTCTCCTTGAGCGCTCGTTCGCATAACTGACGTTGCAGGCGACAATATCAACACCGCATTATCCATCGCCGCCGCATGCGGCATCAAGACCGACGAGGGCATTGCAATAGAAGCGCCCGAGCTGCGAAAGCTAAGCGAGGAGGAACTAGACGCAATCCTGCCGCGTCTCCAGGTCCTGGCCCGCTCCTCCCCGAGCGACAAGCAACTCTTAGTACAGCACCTGAAGAAGCTCGGGGAGATCGTCGCCGTGACCGGAGACGGGACGAACGACGGGCCCGCCCTCAAGTCGGCGGATGTGGGCTTCTCCATGGGCCTGAGCGGGACGGAAGTGGCACGCGAAGCCAGTTCGATCATCCTGCTCGACGACAACTTCCGATCGATCGTCACAGCCATTGCATGGGGGCGTTGCGTCAACGACGCGGTAGCTAAGTTCCTGCAGGTGCGCACCCCCCTCAGATTTCTCCATAGAAAACCAATCACTGATGAATGTACTGAAGTTCCAAATCACCGTCAACATCACCGCCGTCTGCCTGACAGTAGTAACAGCCATCTACAACAGCTCGAACGAAAGCGTCTTCAAAGCCGTGCAACTGCTCTGGCTGAACCTGATCATGGACACCTTTGCAGCATTGGCCCTGTAATTTTCCCTCCCCCGCCTTCCCCTCCCCCTTCTTCATCCCCCACTCCACCAACTAACAACCATCAGAGCCACCGACCCCCCGACCCCCTCAATCCTCTCCCGCCCCCCAACGCCCCGCCACGCCCCCCTCTTCACGACCACAATGTGGAAACTCATGCTCGGCCAATCCCTCTACAAACTGGCCCTCTGCTTCACGCTGTACTTCGCCGGCGACCGGATCTTCAATCTCAACCCCACCGGAGACGCCCACGACCGCGTGCTCCTCGACACGATCATCTTCAACACCTTCGTGTGGATGCAGATCTTCAACGAGTTCAACTGCCGTCGGCTGGACAACAAGCTCAACATCTTCCAGGGCCTGACCAAGAATGCGTGGTTCATGGTGATCAACGTGCTGATGGTGGGTGGGCAGATTCTCATCATCTTTGTGGGTGGGGAGGCGTTCGGCGTGACGCGGCTGAGTGGCGCGCAGTGGGGGTATTGCTTGGGGTTCGCGGTGGTGTGTGTGCCTTGGGCGGCGGTGTTGAAGTTCGTGCCGGATCGGTATGTTGCGTGGGGACTTGGGTGGGTGGGGGTCGGGGTGAAGATGCTAGTTGTACGGCCTTTGGGGGCTGTGGGGGTCTGGGGTAAGCGGGTGGCTGGGAGGTGTAAGGGGAAGAGGGGGACAGGGCGTGGGGATGAGGAGATGGGGGTGGAGCGGTGATATGCGATCGGATTAGGTTGTGGTGTTGTCTATAGCTATTGGTGGTCGGTTGGTGATGCGGCCACGAGTAGAGACCCTTGTTGACGATGTACACAGTATGTTAGCCCTAAATGCATTCCTCTGAGCCCGCTCAGTGCGAATTCCTCGTGATGGCTTACGCAGTCTAGATCCAAAATTAGTAATGTCTTATCACACGGTCATCGTGGGGTGATACCAACCACCACTAGCATATATTTTCATTATAATGATGTATCCTCCACTCGCTGCTAACAATAGCCCCTACCCCCCAAAACCTACACCAAGCGCCTCAACAGAACCATCTCGGTCGTCAACCCAGGCCCAAAGCTCACCGCCACCACCTCTTTCCTCAAGCTCCGCCCCTCCCACCTCCTCAACCGATCCAACACCGCCAACACCGCCACACTCGAACTATTCCCCCTCGATTCATAAACCTCGCTACTTGCCCGGATCGCCTCGTCCGATAACCCCAACGCCAGCTGCGCGCCCCTGAGAATCGTCAACCCCCCAGGATGAACCGCCCACTCCAACTTCCCCGGACCAACCGACGCCATCCCATTCGCCTGCATCAACTCCCCAAACAGCCCCCGCAAAGACGCAACCGCCAGGGCCGGAACCTCGCGCGCCAGCGTCAGCTGAAACCCATACTCCGTCGTCCGATAGGACATAGCCTCATGCGTCTCCGGGGTAATCCCAGTCCGATAATCCACCACCGCGAACCGTCTGGGCATCTCCCCGGTGAGCGCAAGCGCATTGCACAGCACCAGCGCGGCAGCACCATCACTGAACAGCGCCGGCCCGATACTGATATCCTCCCCTCCGCCCAACCCCACCTTCTTCGCAGTGGCGTGCAGCTCCGCCGCAAGATGGATACTACACACCTCGCACGCAAGCACCAACACCCTCGCGGGCTTCCGTTGCAGCGTGGCCGCCCGCGCAAGCGAGCTCCCCACCCGCAGGGCTGCAAGGCCCCCGGCGCAGCCGATCCCGCTCAGCAGGACGCGTTCCGCCCCCGGGGAGATGCCCACATCCCGGAACACGGCTTGGTCGTAGCCTGGCGCTCCCGCGTTGGTGACGGTCACGGCGACGGTGTGCGTGATGGCCGACGCCGGGAGGTGGCTGTCGGTTAGGGCGGCGCGAACGGCGCGGGCGGCGAGCGGGACGCCGTGGCAGTGGAATTCGGAGGAGACTTGTTCCGCGGTCGGCGGGGTGGGCTGGTTTCTGGGGTCGTACCAGTGGGGGTTGTTGTTGAAGCCGATCAGAGCGCGGGAGGCGATGCCGCTGCGGGCGTTGATTTTGAGGAGCGTTTGGACCCTGTAGTGGTTATGGGCTGAGTCGTGGGGATAGTTGGAGACGCAGAGGGGAGGGGAGGGGAGGTACCTACCACGCTGCGTCTGCGGGATAATGGCGGAGGAGGTACTGGCGGAAGTCGTCGGAAGTGACGATCTGCGACGGCCATTCCGTGCCAAGGCCCGTGATGGTCAGCTCGGGCTCCTCCCCCGCTTCCGCTGCCCCACGTGGAGGGTGGGCGTCGCTGCCAGACGAGAATGCGGTGCCCATTATGTCTCAGATGGGGTTGGGAGTTGGCGAGGAGTCGATAGAAAGGTTAAGGTTGGAGGTAGGCGAGAGTGGATGCTTTTGATGTGTTCTTTCCGTGACTGTCCCTTTGCATGTGTTCCTTCCATGAATTTGTCAGAATTCTTGCAATCAGGGACGGAATACGAGCGTGGCGGTCATGCAGCGAGCTTGGCGGTGTCGCTTGGACCCCTGGACCAGACTACCTTAACTTACTTGTTGGCAAAGTGTGATTTCATGCATAATTTGGGTGTTGCATGCAGGGCCAAGTACTGCGAGTCTCTCGTTGACGTTGCGAATTGGGTCTCTAATACACGGCTACGTCACAATTTCAACAAAAACGAATCGACCGCAGGATCGAAAGTCATGCAGCGCACGCTAGACTCTGTGTCTCATGATCTCGGGATCGTCCAGTCTTTGGATGTGTCTGATTCAGACGGGTCTCCCGAAGTCGCCTTAGTTGGTGGTGGCCGCGGACGTTCAGGGTATGGATCGCTTACTTCCTTTCCCACACTGACTGGCTTGCTTGGCTTCATAAAGATACTCTGTCAACTGGCGACTTCCGGAATCGATCAGAAATCGCGAAGGATGATCTGGTCAGGGCTGTTGGGATTCGCTGTTCATCCCCCCATGATTGAGTGAGGCTCCCAGGTAGCTTGTCATGCAGCTCAAAACCTACTATCCGTCGCCTTAAAACATGAGTCTCTTGAATCAGCATGTGTACGGCTTGGTTCTTCTGGTATTTCTCGCAGAATGCCGCCTGTTCCTCGAGTTTGCGGGGGCAGCGTAATCGCTTGTCGCGAAGAAATCGCTGGCCTAAGTATGTCGCGATCGCTGTCTTTCTACTGCACACATTGAATTGCCCTTTCTCTTGGTCTTCCGATCTGTCCTAGATAGTGGTCAGGCGAATTGATGGGAAGGAGGCGGAGGGAAGAGGAGGTTCTCTGGCCACCCACTGCAATTGACCATGATTATCGGGTACAGTATCTATCCTCGTCCGTGCACCTGTCCACTTTGGCTTGGCCTGACAGATTCCGGGGACTGTCAAGTCACCAGATCTGAAAAGGTGGGCAGTGCATGATGTTTCGAATTAAGTTTTGGTCTGACGAGTGCTCTAATTGCCACTTCACGCTGCAAACGGAAGGGATACGGGGAGCGGGAGCGGGAGTGGGTCGGGAGTGCGGGACGATGTAAGGAGATTTAGCAAAGTGGTCCATCATAAGAGCAAAGAGCAAACCTAATCGCAAACCTAACAACAACCTAGACTGAGATACCTTCGATCATGCAGGGCCTAGACGCCGGTCCTGCTATCTCGTCCGACTTGAGAATGAATGCTGCAGTCCTTGGCCATACAAAGTCCTTCGGTCATCGACTATAAATGCGTTGCTCTGCACACTCACATCTGGTCTAACAAGTCACTCACCAGCCCTGCACTGTCCCAGAGAATTCCCCTATCCAAAGCCATTATCTCAGTCCACAATGAAAGCCTCACACTTTATTGCATTTCTCCCCACCGCCGGACTGGTCGCAGGGATGCCCCATCACACCCGCGACCTCTGCGCCGGCTTGCCCACCAGCGGCATCCTCAGCGCCGCCACCAACCTGCTCTGCGAGAAAATCACCCTGACCAACACGGGCTGCTCAGTGCGGGTGAAGTTTCCCTGGGATGTACCGACCAGCTCCTTCACCCTCAACGATGATACCTCGAAAACCTTCCTCGCTCAGCGCGGCCAGACGCTCCAGTTGGACGCCCAGCCGAGATCCGACCACTCCGCCGCCGCCTGGACAGGGACAAGTAGTGCAAACAATCCCACGACTTACAAGGTACCCCTGGTGGGCGACCTCCCTGATATCAAGGTGTCGTGTCCTGAAACTTGTGTGGCGACCAACAAGATCTGTAATATCAACGATCCGGGGATGTGTTGTTCGCGGACCTGTGGGGTTAAGCCTCATATTGGGCCGGGTTATTTCTGTTATTAGTGTGGGAAGGGGATGTATTTGGGGGAGGGGAGTGTACTTACTTGTTACAATAGGTAGTAGCAGGGGATATTCCATTGTTGTATTCAGATATTAGGATTTATCTAATGATATTCATTGTCTTATTGTAATCACGCATGCATAGTTGGTCGCATTGTTCCTGTAACCTACCAATTAGAAACCCGAAAATTAAATGCTAACGCCAAGCCCCAATGACGATTTCTGCTCAGCTCGAGTGTCATCTTATAGATAGGCTGGTAAAGTGAACGATAGTACACTTTTGTTTTTACCCCCTTAAATTACAGTTCTTGTTATCCTGTTAAAGTCTTCCTGGTTGTGGTTCTGCTCTCGTGGTACTGTACCTCGTCAACGTAGTCAAAATGCTAGTCTTGATATAAGTGGTGTCGGAGTTGGTCGTTCGGGCTGATACAACTTAGGGCAATATGAGAAACACATCGTCGGTGAATGGGCGATAGAGAACATACGAAGCATAGGTATTTATGCCCTACATTAGAGCTCAAAAGCATGTAACCCTTAGGATTGGAGGGAAAGCATTCCTCTTCTCCTAGTAAAGCATCGTCACCGCCTTCCAGAGGCATGACTGACTATATCTGCGAAATCCTCTCAAGTCTCCTGGGTGCAATTCAATGCAAACAGAGAACTTTCTAACGTTTCTATACGAAACCCCTCGCAGGTTCACATTATAGTTCTTGATTAAATGCGGTGAGGGTAGACTTCAACGGTAGTTTCGAGCAGCGAGCAATGTTTGGGTAAATGAGCAATCGTGCCAAGACACCCGGGATGATATATCGAGCGGTACGAAGGACTTCACCACGGTGCCATATGCACTATTTATGAGGCAGCAACCTTCGCCACTGATACAGAAGAACGGAGAGGCTTGTGCTATAGCTCACTTTAGAAAAGAGCTTAATTCTCGAATACCGATCGGAGACATTCAACTCCACTGTGCCTCGCACTGCTCAGGGTCAAAAGTGTAGACCGCCTCCCACACCATTTACCACTTCGGGATACTGCCGGAATAACCCCCAAGAACAGGCTAAGCCTAGCCGCCTACGGCAGGCGGTCAGGAGGCGACAACTAAACCGTCCATCTCGTATAGCATCTGAAACAGGTCTAGCGCCACTATATTTCCAGTGGATTTCAATCAAAGCTTGTACGAGGTGGAAGCTTCGGCAAGAGGGCTTCGAACCAGGGGCATTAGCCAATCTCATTATAAGATAGCTGAACAGCCGTCATCCCTGCGGAGACACCCCGGCTGCCGTACATCTACCACAACCGATAATCCAGCCCTAGCCAGCTCCCAGCCGCCACTCCGCCGCCAATGGACGCGACAGAAGCCAAGCCGACGATCCAGCCCTTCACGGGGCGGATCGGAGGCAACCAGACGCTGGTGGTGGACCGGCACGACCCGGACAACGCGGCGCTGCTGAAGCGGGTGCCGGACGCGGCGCCGATGATGAGCATCAAGGAGGGGCTGCAACCGGGGGGGTTCGGGGAGTTGGATCTGTGGAAGTTCGGCTTCATTGAATGTATCGGTCTGCAGCCGCTCCGGCCCCCGGTGCTTTCTTCTCATACCCATCCCATCTAATGCCCCCCGCGCAGGAACAATGCTCAACGTCTTCATAACAGCCTGGGCCTCCATCAAACCCCTCCCGTCCACCACCACCACCACCCCCACAACACCCGCCGGCGTCTACGCGACAACCACCTTCCTCGGCCCCACCATCGGCAGCCTGGTCAACTGGCTCACCCTCACCCTCTGCATCTTCACCTTCTCCAACGTGACCGGCAGCCACCTCAACCCGACCATCACGCTCGCCACCTTCTTCGCCCGCCTCATCACCCTCCCCCGCGCCGTCATTTACCTCGCCGCCCAAACGCTGGGCGGCACCCTCGCCGGCCTCATCCTGCGCGCCGCCTACGGGTCCCCCGCCTTCGCTGTCGGAGGGTGCACCGTCGACACCTCCCTCGTGCCCGTGCGCGAGGCCTTCCTCCTCGAATTCGTGTTCTGTCTGCTCCTCGTGTTCTGGTCCTTCGGGGTGGGGCTGGATCCCCGCCAGGGGAGGTTGTTCGGGGCGGCGCTGTCGCCGTTCTTGGTGGGGATGGCGCTGGGGACGGTGAGTTGGGCGTCCGCGTTCACGAGGGTGGGGTTTGGGGGGGCAGGTGCGTTTTATCCCCTTTCTTTCGTTGGGGTGTTGGGTTGGGTGTTGGGTGGCTAGGGTAGGGCTAATTTGGTTACTCCGGCGGTAGGGTTGAACCCCGCGAGGTGTTTTGCCGTGTATGTCGCTACGGGGTTTCCGGGGTATCATTGGATTCACTGGGTGAGTTGGGCTTTTTTCTGTGCAATGCAGGTTGGGTGTGGGGATTAGGCGGGGTGGGGAGGTTGTTGGGTGTCGTGCTGATGCTAATGCTGTGCGTGTGTTGTGTAGGTTGCTGCGCTGGCTGCTGCGGTGGGGCATGGGGTGGTGTATTTCTGTGTGCCGCCGTGGACGGCGGCGGATGAGGGGATTTGAGGGTTCGGTCCGGGTGTCTTACCGGTGGTTGAGGGTGAGCCACGCTCATGGATGGGATGGGATGGGATGGTAAGAAGATTAGAGCTTGTCTTTGCGCACGGCTTCTGGTACGTGGGTGGCTTGCTGTTCTGAGAAGGTGATGGGTTGATGAAGAACCAGATCTGGAATTCTGCAACTATTGATAGAGTCACTACATGTCATAGCTGTTAGAAGATAGATCAACAGCACTTCCCGCATGACTCCTCATTCCTTGCAATAAACCCCCACAGCTCCGCTCTCATCTCCAATAACTCCCAATCTCCCTCAAATCCTCCACCAACGCCACCGGATTATCCAACCCGGGGAAATGACCCCCGCGTTCGTGGTCTACACCCACGATAGTTAGCATTCATCTTAAAGCCTGACAACACTGCAGACATCTCAAAGAGGAAAAGAACGTACTCCGATACAGCACCAGATTGCCCGTCTGCGCAACCAGCGCCGGCGGCCAGAAGCCCACATTGTACTTGAACGCGCTGAACAGCAGCGGCGCGTCAGTGTGCGCCTTGCTATACACCGTGCTGAAGCCGTTGGGGTTCTGCGCGTAGATGATCACGGAGGAGGCGAAGGTCTCCGTCAGGTAGTAGAGCGAGACGTGGCGCAGGATCTCGTTGTGGGTGAGCACTGAGGGGCTGGTTCCGGCGTTGGGGTCGGACCCTTTTCGGTTGTTAGGTTGGCTTTTGGGGAGATGGGAAAGGTGGGGGG